CTGTTAATATTATTAAAATCACTTACTCTTCCAAGTCAACCAAACTGCTGCAACCAAACAGCCTGTCAGGAACAGTCCCAAGCCCACTCCAACTGCTGAACTAAGCATAATATTTTTAGGGGGACAGCACTAGTGAGGATAACGGTCTAATGATAGAGCTGATCAAGACACCCAGGCACTTTTCCTGGCATAGTCTAATACAGTAGCATAGACACAGACAGGTATGCTTGAGCTCAGCCACCATTTTAGCAAGGATATATCTTGCCAGATGTATCTGGAAGTTGGAACCTAAATGAAAATAAAATCTAAGAACATCAAAAAAGCTCCGTGTTTACAGTTCAATGTGTACACATTTGTACTGCATGCTTTTTACAGGTTTCAACCTTACATGCAAGCTCAGGAAAGCTGAAAGGCCCAAAATAAATGCAAACCCAATATGATCAGCTGCAGATTTTTTCCAGGCTTGAAAAACCATCATCATTTCTCCAAAAGTCTGTTGGAAATTGAAGGAACGCATGTATCATCTCTATGCAATCAAGATAGCAATAGGCATTAATAAGCATTATTATCAGTTCCACTGGGCCAAAGGGCATGAGACTGACACTCTCCAGCATCTGCCTTTCCACTCAAGCATGCACTACATGGGAAATACCAAGAAAGAACCTTAAGACCATCCTTTCAGCGTGAACTTATCACGTCAGGTCCAAAAGCTATGCCTAAGAGAAGCTGGTTACTCATCAGACAACTGGGTCAACAGTACTCAAAGCTGTGCAGCAAATTGGGGAATGCAGCTGTGCCTGTTCCTGCCAGATCGCTGAACACATCTGAGTGGGCCTGAACACAAAAACTGTGCAAGCTCTGATCCTTTACCAACAAAAAGACTGGTGAAAATGAAGAGGATACCCAAGGTCTCTTCAGTAAAGGGAAATGGGAAAGACAATGCGATTTGAACTTAGACATTTAGGTGGGATTAATTGCCTTGCTGCTGCATAGACTCAGATGTCTGGCAGTTGTCTCCGCACAGTCAATGAACAAATAGGCTCCTCAGAAATAAATGAATTGTCTTCCAAAGGCACATGTCTAAGAAAGTTGGAATGACTCAACCTCTGGGAGGTGCCCGTTTCTCTCTACTGACTATATATGTAATCTAGATGACAAGCCCAGGCATATACAACTAACTATTATACGTTCAGATGAATCTTAGGCAAGATGAATCCTACAACTAGTTTTACAAGTACATTACTAATGCATCTAGTCTTCTTTTCTCAAGGGAAAATATGGTGCTGTTCATGCTGTGTTAAAACACATGTTTTCAGCTGCTTATTTATTTTAAGAATCCCCTTTTGACCATGTGAATTTTAAGCCTTACATACAAAGAAAATTATTTATCTTAACAGAGGGTGTATAATTCAGAACAACATGACCACTCCTAAGCTACCACTCACCAGAAAGGTTATCATATGTAGATAAACCCTACAGCCACAGATGTATCTGAAACACATGATTGGACTTGCAATGTCAGGTGGCACCAATAACTAACATTTCTCACATAGTCTCCTTGACTGATTTTTTAATTATTAGGATACTCTCTGATAATAAAGCTTCCCTGCATTTCTTTGATGCAATCCTACTGCTATCAAAGGTTGTACAGATAGTTGAAAGCAAACAGAACTAAATCCTTAAAATAATCAGGGTCTAATGCTAGTGGGGAAAAAAAAGATCAAGATGAGCATCTTGTATTTTACTGCCCTTTCAATGAGAATCATAATGAAAAACGAGGGAAATCTTTTTGTCACTAAAGTTAACAAATAAGTCTGAATATACATAAAAAGAAACCTTTTGAAAAAGTTCTACTTTGATTTAATTTAATGGGAATTCAAAAGTGAAATTAAAAGAGTCGATAAGAAGATTGAACATATACTCTTTAGTCCCCTCACTTATGAAATATATATTTTAAGACTAACTATCACTTTCCAAATAAGCTAATCTTGGTGCTGTGCTCCCAAGATGAAGGAAAGCAGACTTTTTCATGTGGACACATGAAGAAATATGCTTTCAGCATTCTGTATGTTATAACATACAGAAGAAAGGATAGTGGAGAGATTAAGAGATACACAGGAACAGAAGTAAAACCACTGAGACAGTCCTAAGTGACAGTGAAAATTAAAAGATTTATAATACTCTCCAGTGAAATGTCAAACTTACCTTCACAGAGTATTAATGAATTCATTGGAGTTTTCAAAAGCCTCAGATTCCATACATTTCTCTATTTTACTTTGAATTACACCTTAATTTTTGTACCTTGCAAAATTTGGTATGCTTCCATCGTGCCCTCCCCTCTGCCTCCCACCCTGGAATATTTTACCTGTACCACCTAGCCAATTTATCCTTTAACCTCTTCATAACTCCAGTGAGAGAGGTTAATGTCATTCAGTTACAGAGATCTACATATTTATGTCCAAGTCTCAGCTAGTCTCCCTCAACTCCTCTACAGCCAGTACTGCAAAATAGGTACTTCCAGGACATGAGTTATCTCACCCCAATACAAACTCTAAACCAAGCTATCAGAGTCGCACCCTAGAGGTGCCCATTTCCTCCCCTGGGCTGTAGGAGAGGTCTGGGGGACTAGCTGGGATGCAGACATCTAAAATTCATTATGATGAATTTCAGCCTGTGCTCTGTAACTGGTAGAAACACAAAGTGGTGACCATCTCCCACCTTAAGCAGGTATTCTGGATAAGGTTTTCAGCAACCTGGCCTAGTGGAAGGTATCCCTGCCCATGGCAGAGGGAGCTGGAACTGGATGGGCTTAAATGTCTCTTCCAACCTGAACCATTCCATGATTCTCTGAATCTCAGGACACCCTGTTCCTGGGAGGAGACTTAATAGTTTGCAGCTGGTAATGCAGCCTCTAGCCACCATAGTAATCTTTGGAAGTAGCACAGGGCAAGGAGTGTATGCCAAAAGTTGCCTGTCTCTTAAACATTTAAGAGTGCCCATGAGTAATGCCTAGCTCCAAGAATCCTTCCTTGACAAAAATGATGTTATGGAAACTAGTGACTATTGTCTGAAATCTTCTCAGCAGACACACAACAAAAGATGTGAAGATTTCACTGTGTACTTGGAGAAAGACAGCATCCATTACATGTAGGATTTCTAAACAGGGATATCTATCCTGGTGAAGGTGCGGCTGCCAAGGGAGGAACAGACAAAAGGAAAAAATAATAACTGGACTTTAGTTTGTTCAAGGAAAGAGTCACTGTTCTGTGTTTCAGAAGTTTTAGGAAAATTAAAAACAAAAAAACCCAAACAAACATACAAACAAACAAAAAACAAAAAGCCAAACACACGCATCACCACCACCCCCCAAATAATCTATCACATGATTTTTCCGGTTCAAGATAAAGGCAAGGAAAAGAACAATAATTTGCTTCAACTTCTCTTCTGAAGAATACAAACACTTAGGTGGGACTGAAAATTTTAGCAGAAGCATTTTAGACAAAAGAAAGGAGTCAAGACTTTTGTACTTTCTAGTCTTCAGTGCATTAAAAATATACTACATAAAGTTAAGCAAAAACTTAAGATAAAATAACTTAAGATAACAAAATAGTGTGAGCAGAATGAAATATTCTACACAATACTATTGACTGATCTTTGACTTTAAAAACTTAATCTGGGAAAACATGAGACCAAGGACTAGTACACTGCTTTTCAACAAGCCAATGTCAAAATCCTTTGAGTAGCTTTGAAAGTACTTTATGACAAGTCATTTGTGAGGAAAAAAAAAACCTCAAAGCCCACTTTTTTTCCAGTCAGCTCAACTAGTTCTGTTTAGATTAAAATATCCCAAACTTTGTCATTTTGTTATTTCCTAGATGGTCCTTCTATTCTTCTCTTATTTTACACTCTTGGTCAGTTATTATTTTATGAAGTGGTATATCCCCTTATACCGTGACAGCTCCATTTCTATCAGAGATTTTGGTGACTTTTTTGAAACACTGACAGTAACACTGAGAATGCCTATGCTCATCAAATTCCCAAAAGAACTACTGAATTTGTGATTTTTACACAGCACTGTATATAGCCATGCTAATGATAAGTTTCAGGATAATTTACGTCAGTAGGGTTTATCTAGAAGCAAGGCTTTCTCAGATATGTACTTCCCAATGCTCACTCTAAAGGGCTTTTTGAAAAAATAGACCCACATTTACTTTTTTCACTCCTCTGATGGGAACTAATTCAATAAATGGGTAATACACAGTCTTTACTATGTAAGTTCATATTAAGTCATTAAGAATCACTAAGTAAATACTGCCTGGCCCTGAAAATTTAGTAAGAGTTGATGTATAGAACTGTTTATTCCCTGTTCAGTATTTTTACCATATATAAACAGAGAATGAACAGAGGCATGACAATTCCTATGTTTATATTTTACCTTTAGATAGGGAAATTAAGATTATCTAGTCTTGACATCACAGAATGCCAAGTTATGAAGCACTAGTTGCTTTACAGGAATTGTTCCTGGATGTTTAACACAGAGTTACATGTTGCAAGACATTTGGAACAGACTGATGCTTTGCAAACAGAAATATCTTTTATCTATCAAATTACCTCACATTTACAGCAAACACATGCCCCTAAATAGTCAGTACAGTGCGCACAGTAAATTGTCAGCCTGTCAGAACTCGACTACATATAAAACCCAATGTTTTCCTTGTTCTGACTTTCTAGAAAATGACAGAGAGCAAAAGCTCTCTAAAACTGCACCCATAAAAACAGAGGCCAAAAATTTAAAAGGCTGTATATTTCTTAGCATTTACTCTAACAATGGCCTATATTACATCAGTCAGATAAGATTTCATTGAAGAAGACTGTAATGACTCATCTTAGTCTTAACAATGTTAACACCAAATCTTTAATTTAAATGCTTCCTAGCCTTGGTATTGAAATAAGGTTCCTTTGCTTCTCAAACACTTTGTTTTGTTTTCTTGGTATTACAGGTGCAGTTTCACACACATCATTGAAAACACCACGTGAATTAGATGACAATTCCTACTCTGAAACAGTAACCAAGGACAAACACCACGATCCCCTACTCTGTTCTAAACGCGGGCTGGTGCTGCAGGAAGCAGTACCACCAACTGCTTCTCCCCCTCCCCTGGTCGCACAGTCCTGCCACTTCTCCCGCACCGCACCGAGCCGCACAGCTGGTGCATCGCCCTGGGCCGTGAGCCGCCCGCAAAAGGGCCGCTCAAGTCTTCTCGGACCATTGTGCTGAACCAACACAGTTGCTGTCTCAGCTGTAGGGAAGATGATGGTTGACACACGACCAAGGGAGCGGGAAGTAGGACGGCTCTTCTGGTAGCAGTCCGCAGTTCGATCAGACTAAGAGCACTGCAAAACAAGATATTCACGTCTTCCTTACACTGCATCAGCTACAATGCTTTTCTGCTTATATGGAATTTGTGGAATAATACTCTGAGAGCTCAGGCTTGTCTTGGAAAACTCAAATCCTCTCAAGGAGGTTTAGAAAGAAAGAAACATGTTATGGAGCTTTGCAACAATGTTATTTCCTATTAAGCTCTCACCTACTCGTTCAATCATCTTTATAAAACTATCTAGCTTGTAATTCTTTCCCAGGAGACAACTGACAGAAGTCTTACTAACAGGTCTTTTCTCCTTTGCACAAAACTGACAGGATACTCTAGTTTTCGCTTCACATGACCCATTATTTTACACATATTTAATGAGAGCTTATTGAGCATCCCTAGTGACGGGCAAGGAGGAGTAACGTCCATCTGGTAGAGCTGTGCCAGCTCCGCAGAGATCAGGCGAGGGTGTTCTTAGTGTAGTACACAGCGGGGACCATATTGTAGTCTACAGGCAGTCTGAAACACACTACCCACAGTTACTGACAGCAGAACGACCTGCGTGAACAGCCACTGTTTTCCCATACCGACCGAACTGAGAGGCCATCAATAAAGACAGGTAACCCTCTTCCCTTGGTGGGGTGATTTTCAGACCCACTGTGGCCCCACATGGCCCTCCCCGCCTCACCGGGCCCGTCGGCCTCGCCAGGCATCGCGGGCAGCAGCAGCGGGTCCCGGTGCAGCCGCTGTAAGCCGTTGGGTGGGCGGCTGTTCGCCTCCAGGCCGGCCGCCATCTTCGCCTCGTTGGCCTTCGTCAGGCGCTTCACGTGGATGAGGAGGTCGGGGTGGTCGCGGCGAAAGCGGGGGCTGCCGAAGTGGTGCAGGGGCCCGGGGGAGCCACCGCCATCGCCATCACCGCCCCCTGCCACGCCGCCCGCCTGTCCCGGCCTGCGGAAGCCATAGAGGTTGAGCTGTCGGATGAGGCTGGTGAAGTTCTTGCTCTTGAAGAGGCCGGTGGCTCCCGCCGCCCCGTCGCTGACCGGCCCCGTGCCCAGCACCTCGCGCTGGTCGATGATCAGCCCCTCGCCGCGGGCGTCCCAGCGGATGGGGTGGAAGTGCGGGCTGTTCACCAGCCGCCACGGCTTGGCCGGAAAGTTGTCGGGGTTGATGGTGAGCAGCCACAGCTCTGCCAGAGCTCTGGGAGGGGGAACAGCTGTGGCAACCGCTCGCCCATGGCTGCTGCGCTTCCCCCAGCACCAGGGCACGGGCCCGGCTCATGGCGCGTCGCCCATCATCCCCTCAATGCCATCCTCCCCCGCCATCCCCTCAGCCTCCCCCAGTCCCCCCCAGCCCCGCCATCCCCTCAGCCTTCCCCAGTCCCCCCCAGCCCCTCCATCCCCTCAGCCTCCCCCAGCCCCTCCATCCCCTCAGCCCGTCCATCCCCTCAGCCTCCCCCAGTCCCTCCATCCCCTCAGCCCCTCCATCCCCTCAGCCTCCCCCAGCCCCTCCATCCCCTCAGCCTCCCCCAGCCCCTCCATCCCCTCAGCCTCCCCCAGTCTCCCCCAGCCCCTCCATCCCCTCAGCCTCCCCCAGTCCCCCCCAGCCCCTCCATCCCCTCAGCCTCCCCCAGTCTCCCCCAGCCCCTCCATCCCCTCAGCCTCCCCCAGCCCCTCCATCCCCTCAGCCCCTCCATCCCCTCAGCCTCCCCCAGTCCCCCCCAGCAGCTCACATCGGTCCCGTGAGGGCTGAGACCCGTGGGTGAAACCTGCTGCTCAGAAGGGTCCCGCTGCCATCCCGGAGCCGTGCCCGGAGGAAGCTGGAGCTCCCTGGCTGGGAATGGCTGATGCCCGGCTGCCAGCCCAGACCTGAGGAAAGAGGTTCAAAATTCAAAGTGGGAAAAGTGTGTCCTCATGAGCACTCTGGCCTTGCACAGCTATGGATGGGGCTGCAGTCAGTTGACAGGAAATACAGAATGGGGTCGAAGGTCCAGGTTTCACAAAAGAAATTAAATTAAATCCCACAGGCTAATAATCTTGAGAACAGGGTGGTGAAAGAGGCAACTATTTCTGCTGCTCATCCTAATTTCTTCGGGACAACAGCACTGTGCAGGACTGCAGATGTACCTCCTGGTACTTACTGACTGCAGGGAAACACTGGACATCGGGGAAAGGCAGAGTTGATAAATATGGTATGTAATCCTAATGTTATGTACATGGTGATGATCTCTGAACTGATTATTAGCATTCATGAAGTTAGAGTACATGTTTGAAAGCGTCAGCTTAAAGTTCACCAGCAGTTTACAAAAGGGAAAAGAAAATGAGTTTAGAAGGGAGTAGAAGATGAATACAGAACAAATCAGGAATTTCAAGTGTCACATTTGTCCTAAAAAATCCAAATGTGTGCAGTTGTTATCTCTCCCACTCCAGAATAGATTGAGTTAAAATGGTAAAATGGGATAGAGAAAATCAGCATCAAGGATATGAACTAGCTTCAACAGAAGGAAATACTGAAGAAGAAATCTTCAGAGGGGGTTTTATGTAATGAAAACTTAGATAGGAAAATTGTTGGTAGTATAAATGGAGGTTAAAAAAGAAAACAAATCAGACAATCACAGGAAAGCTGAGGAACTAATTGCCATGGGATGTTTTGAGTACCAAAATGTTACTTGGCTGGAGTATTTAAAAAAAAAAAAAAAAAAAAAAAGTGCTATATTCACAAAGAAAAGTACATCCAGGGCTCTTAAAGGTGGAGGAAGCTCAGAGTTTGTGCTTGAGATGTACAAGTACATGCCTGCCCTCTTAAACTCTTCTCAGAGTTTTGCTGTCTGCTATGACTGGAGACAGACTGCAGGGACTTTTTTTTTTTTCTCCCTAGCCTAGCATAACCATTCTTGCTGTTCTAGAACAAGAATCTGCTATGTACCAAAGGGGAAGAAGAGCAAGGAGCAGGGAAAGGAAGAGTGTGGTAATGTCTCTCTGCCTGCACCCTATCCCTGGGTCACTAGCAGTGACGGGAGAAATTTACATTTTTCTATCTTGGCTGCCTTCAGAGCAAGAAAGTAGTGGAGATTGAGCACTCACATATTTCCTGACCTTAAATACATTATCTTATAGTTGTCATAAGATTTCTTAGCAAGAAGGTACACAATCAAACCCCTCCCTTCACTGAAATCATCCTTATTGCTTTGGTTTACAGCACAGCCCCAAACCACCAAGGCAAGTGAAAGTGCAGTAAGAAGCGCTACTGCTGCCTCCGCAAGTCAATCAACTACCCAGGAACTGCCGCTCTATGCAGGAATTTTGGCTTTTCTGGATCTATGAAATGTTTCTCTCTAAATGCTCACCTGTTATCAGTTAGTGATGCTGCATGCCTCCCTTCTTTCAACACCACTGAAGTAAACTATTGTAGCAAATAGTTTACTTCCTGTGCGTTCAAAAGGAAGATGCTCTGCACAGTGTATATCCTGAATCTCCACATTAGTCTCCATTTTGGATGCAGCTATGCCAAATGCTTTCCTTTGCAAGTACTTTTGCAGCCTTTAAAAAAAAAAAAAAATTTGTCTTTCTACAAAACTAAATGAAATCTGCATTTTTTTCCAACCACAAGTGAAGAGACATTGTTCTTTGCCATATATCAAATTTCCTAGCTTGTTTTTGAACAATATGAATACTTTATTAGAAGGTGACAGGGAGCACTTTACAGTCCACAGTCACAAAAGAGCAGTGGCAGTTGCAGGGATGAATACTTTGTCCCAAGACATACAAAACTTGCCAATACCCCCCCCAGGCAAGGCTTACCCTTCGGCCACTGTCATCTCTCTCGAAGGCTCCACTTAGCGTGGTCCAGTCCGGCAGGGTCACGCAGCTCCTGGCTCCTCAACGCCGAGGTTGACAGCCTCGGCCCAGACTGGGCATTCAGTAAGAACTGCATACAAACATGTCAGGAAAAACTACGCTCACACGGGAGAGTAAAGCTGCATAACTGGCCTAAAATTTGATTTATTGTATTAATGATTTTAAACATGCTGAAGACTGCACGCAGCATCTTTTAGCTCAGGACAATTTGCCATATTAGTTCTAACCTAGGAGATGCAGTGATACCCAAGGTACCATCAATAAATGGCGGTGCCCAAACTTCACTTTCACTGAAGCCTAACATTTTGGGAGAGAAATGTACTATTTAACCCTTACATTGAAAACCAAATGGACAGAAACACACCAAACGTGCCCTCAGAAAGCCTGCATCCTTCTTGCCTGTGTCTCTCGCTTTAAACCGCTTCCCGCTCAGCACTTGCAGGGTTCACAAGAAGGCCACGCATCATGTTCCTTTTTTCTTCTTTCATAACCAAGGCTTAACATGTCTCTTCACATCCCCTGCAGTTTTAGCATTATCTATTAATGGCTTAGCAGCTGAACAATACCAACCATCGCAAGCCTGACCTGGCTGCTCACTACACCTAAATCTATGTTTATTTTGTTCAGTGGCTGATGAGATATCATGGTACATCATAAGCAGTTCCGGCTGTTAATTTGCTGAGAATTCATGGCAGTTAGTGCACTGATAGGAGAATGCTTTGATCTCACTGTTTGTGCTAGGTTTAGACACATTTCAGTGCACATATAGATTACCTCAGGTTGAATGTGTTGGAAAATTATGGCTTTATATACTTTAAGTGATAATGCTTTGTTCTGTGCTCAATAATCATGAGCCTTAAGTGCCCTTTGCCAGCGTGATGTTACAACAGCCAGGAGTGTCTCAGCAGAAGGTCCACACTCAGCTCTGACTGCATGGGGGTTGTCCCAGCTGGTGATGAGAAGCCAAAGGCTCCTACAACAATCCCAGCAGTCAAC